AAAAATAATATTAATAATTTCTATAACAACATTTCAATAATATATTACATATATCGATGTCCTTAATATGTACTACACTGAAAATAAAAATAGTAAATTGAAAAAAGATCACATGCAACGCTACTAATACGAAATATGTATATCAGTACACCATTGCTTTTGAGATTCACAATTATGGATCTAGCAGAGACATGAACCACTCGGTCGTTTTACCGTGGCACTGAAAGTGGATCTGGCCATATAGTTCCGCTCGGCCGGCGTGGCCCCTATCGTACGGAAAACGCTGGGATGGCCGCTCTCAGGCTTCTCTCTGGGTTTAATAACATCCGTAGTTGTAAAACTGGCCAATCACAACTATTCCTCTAAAAAATGGAATGAATGTGATTGGCCAGCCTTGGAACTACGGATGTTATTAAACCCGATTAGGGGTGACGTGTAAACGTAGTCAATTTCACGGCCAATTATAATACTATATATACATAATTATAATATACAATAATTATAATAACATATATAAATGGAAGGGGAATGCCTTTGTTTCCCGATAGAAAAACATGTCGAAAGGAAGTAAGAAAAAAAATCATAGTTGCCTCTCTCTTGTGAGTTAGGGTGCCATTACATGGAGCGCGGAAACGCGGAAACGCGGAAGAGAATTGTAACCAGAAAAGTAACTATTCCGCGTTTCCGCGAATTGAGTCGTTTCTTTCCGCACATTTGAGCGGAATCCGCGGAATCCGTTACCGTCTCAACAAAACTCAACAAAAGTGTATAGAAAATATAAAAACTTTATAAATGGATGGTCCTGTAAGTATTTGAATGCTTTTTAGTACTTAATAAACATAGTAGCTTGTTATTTTTGGAGACATTCTGAGATAGTTGAAATATTTTTCAGGATCTCCCAATTGCATCTCCACAAGTAGATTGTCGCTGTCACCTTGAAGAAGTCTTCTTGTCTCAGTAAAAATAGGCCGTATCCATATTTTACAGTTCTTTCTGCTTTGCAGTTTCTTGTAACGCAAATATAAAATATACATTGAGATAACCTTTTTCATAGTTATCTCTGCATATCTCATCGGTTCATCCCGTGCTTATATGAGATACTTCATAATAATCATCAATATGATATTTGGATCCATTATTATACTGTTACTTTTAAAATAATAAAATAATCGAAATATATAAAAACGTTCTCCTTCACTCGTCTCCAAAATTTGATGGGATATACTGTATCCACTTAATATTTGACGCGCTCGTTCCGCGAATGTTTTTTCCGAGAGAGAACGCAAGGGGCACGAAACAGAGTATGTCCTTTTCTACGTGCATCTTTACCCCCACTCCTTAAATAAAGGCAAACGCTCGGTCTAGATATACTATGTCTATGATACATACTTTTGTGCACAAATTAGCAGGGTTCCAACTGAAATTATATGAATGCTTGGTTTTCCTTCACCTCTATTTTCTGTTGGCCACCCTGCTAATTTTAACCGTCGGTTAATTTAACCGGACTTGGTGAAATTGGCCCTAATACGGCTCTGTGATTGGTTTAGGCAGAGAGAAGAATGAGAGTCGCCACGCTGCCGTTTTTCGTGTAACGCTTTTTCTAGGTCGTACACTAGCGTCACGTACATCCATTTTACGCCGCCTGGAACTACATGGCCACATCCATTTTCGGAGCCGATAAAACAGCCGGTTGGTTCATGTCCGTGCTACATCCACTTTTCGATTTTGGGTCATATCCGTGCTACATCCACTTTTCGATGCTGGTAGTACACTGAGTACACTGATCGTTTGACATATATGTAGATATATATGTTTAAATTATAGTTAAAATTGTACCTGCAATTAAATATTATATGATCCCTGCCGAAAATGGTCGATTAAGACGGATTTAAAAAATGTAATCCGAATCGATCGGGATTTCTGCACCGAAAATGCGGTATTAAAACCGATTGAAAATAGTCAAATCGAATTTAGTTCTATGAGTGAGCTGCGTTCCGATATTCACTGCCAGTACTGAAAATCTATAGTGTACGTGACGTAAACTATAGATTTTCAATACTGGCAGTGAATATCCGAACGCAGCCACAGTGTAAATTTCGTGCTAAGAAGAAGATAGTGGACATTTCTCGTTTACATATAGAATTGAAAAGAATGCAAGTCGATGTGGTTGACAATTACGAGCAGCTGAGACATTTGTCTAATCCTGTCACGCGACGATTGGATGATAATATGCAGTTGACATTGATAAATCTTCCTGATGTTTGTTTGGAGGCGATCCTGTCTAACCTTTCTTATGATGAGATTTCTAAATATAGGATCGTAAGAGATAGCCTTTTAAAATTTAGAAAGGATTTTCTTTTGCCTGTATCAGAACGCAAAGCATATCTCATGATATCATTTTTATATTTTTTGGGGATATTATTATTATATTTTTTTGGGATATAGGTTTGCAGACAATTTAATCGGATTTGCAAGAAATTACTTAATCGTGGTTTTAATCTGATGGAAAAATATCATGCACAGTGCCTTCGTGCAGTAAAAAGTAAATTACCAAGGAGAGAATCGGAGCGAAGAAGTCATCCTCTTGCGCGTCATTGTGATATATTAACAGCGATAGAAACAAGAATCTCTATGCTATCAATGACTTTCATTAAGTATGTGGATCTGAACGTTTGTTGTTTTATTCCAGGAAAGGTAATTAATTTTTACTTTGTAAAAAGCATGGCACAATCATTGTTATTAATTTGATAATAATTGGTAAATATAGTTTAGAATAATCCTCTTAGATTTTAATAAAAATATATTAAATTGATTTCCTTTTTATGTAGAAATAGTTTTGAAAAATTGTTAGAATTATGAATTGCTAAGGGCCAATTTCACCAAGCTCGGTTAGATTAACCGACGGTTAAAATTAGCAGGGTTCCAACTGAAATGATAAGAATGCTTGGTTTTCCTTCACCTCTATTTTCTGTTGGCCACCCTGCTAATTTTAACCGACGGTTAATCTAACCGGACTTTGTGAAATTGGCCCTAAGAATTGTTAATTGTTTAAAATGTGATATAAGGGCAGCCATATCTAATTGGCAGAATTTGATATGTTGTGACAAGACATGATAGTGAATGTACATCTTAAAGTAAAAATAAAACAGTGAAAAATATCACGTATACATATAGTGTACATATAAAAATAAGAAATATGACCAGCCAATGACTTGGCTGCCTAATCTATAAATTCTGCCTAATTAGATATGACTGCATTATTTTTATATAGAAGCCTGTAATCGCCAGTATTTCATTAGTATGACAGATTTCTTAAACTTCTTTCAAAAATGTCATCTTTAATGCTTAACAACTTTTTTTTTAATAGCAATGAGCGACAATTTCAAATCTTTGTACATGAAAAGTTTTTTACATGAAAAGAAATTGATTGAGTGTATTGATCAAAATTTAAAAGAGTTACTTTTAAATATTTATCTTTTCTTTAAGATATAATATATATGTATATGCATATTTGGAATATTGCTCATGCGCATAATTTAAAGAAAAACTTAATTTAGTAAATTTTGCATGTGTCTTGTTTATACTTATCATTGTTAAATAAGTATATTTCAATTATGCATTAGGTAATTGATGAATATCATTGTTAAATAAGTATATTTCAATTATGCATTAGGTAATTGATGAATATCATTGTTAAATAAGTATATTTCAATTATGCATTAGGTAATTGATGAATATCATTGTTAAATAAGTATATTTCAATTATGCATTAGGTAATTGATGAAATTTTTCGTGTCCTTCGATTAATTCGAGAAACAAAAACCCCACCTAGAGCGCATGAGATACTTCAAGAACTGCGGGATATAAGCAGTATGGCCATGGAGCATTTTGATGAAAAGATTCTGCCAGATTTAAAACACAATATTTGCACATCTATGATTGGAACCGTGAATTCGTACGATATACCTGGTGGGGTCATGATCTCCCCCAGTAGAAATAACTCTGCACTGCCACATTGCAACAATCACAGCTCAACCTGCTCAGAAAAACTTAATCAGACTTTTAAGAAAATTAACAATTGTATGAAAAAGAACAAGATATTCTTCTTGTCTGTAAGAAACCAAATGGGTAGAATAAAGCTCAGAATGCAAAGGCAACACTATCAGATACGGATGCAAAACTTGAAATTACAGAAACAAGTAAAGAAGATACATGATCAAGACATGCAGTTAGCTGAGATGCGGAAGCATCTTGAGGAATGGGAGCAAAAAATGGTCGATTTAACTACCGAACTGAGTCGAGCACGAGAAGAAACTCAGAACCCTGACTCATTAGAAAATCGCAAACGGAAAGCACACATTGATATTATCAGTGCTGATGTCGAGACACTTCAACAGACGAATGAGTTACATGCCAAAAAACGCAAACTCATAGTAGAAAGAAAATCATCGAGTGACGCGCAGGATATGAAGTTCAAAAAATTTATGTCGGAATTACTTGCGAAAAGTGCGTTAGATAAATACCTCGTCGGTCCATCGTGCTCGCGCTAATTTGGCTTTTCTACATTAATATTCCTAGCATAAAAATTTTTGCAGAATTATATTCTTTGTATAAAGCATTTTTTAATTGTTATAATAAAATAGATATAGCAGCCATAGATAAAAATATCTACATTTTCATCCAATTATTTACTATTTTTAAACAATGATTATAAGAAAGTTTGAACAAAAAATGACTTCGATTAATTAACTATTTTTTGTTGCATTATAAGATTAACATAATGTACAAAAATGATGTATCCAGCCAAATTCATAGTGTTTTACTGTAAGATTTCTATATGCGATATATAATTCTAATATAAAATATAAGAAAAGTTCATGTTATTAATTAATATTATAGGGAGAATATTATTTTATTATGCATTTATATCAAGGAATATATATAGAGCAAGGACAATAAATTACAAATTGCAATGATATACTAATGTACATTTCCTTAAAATAATATTACATATTATATTATTTTAAAGAGATAACATTTTAATCATTGTAAAATATTAATTTTATTTTTAGTGTATGCGCCTTTTAATATGTATATAACTGATTTTATTATAGTATTAGTTTTTTTTTGTTTGTATGTAAAATTAAATATATTAACATGTAAAAAAGACTGTAATTCATATTAAATATTATTAATCAGCATATGATTTAGTTTGACATTTTATTATCAATTTATATAATTCATAATTCATGATACACGACCTTATAGTTACATTTAAAGTGGAAGGAAATATTTTTCTAAATATACGAATGGAATAATTTATAAGCATCTTATTTGCATAAATAGATATTAAAGATAAATGGCTCTCATTGAAAAAATAATTTGAATAATATAAAATAGACGAGATAAATAAATAAAATTTAAAGATGTTTAATCAAAATATTTTACATTAATCAGCTTAAAATGTTAACATATTTATATTGTGATAGCAAATATAAAATTTTCTCATAAATTATAAAGTTGATATACATAAACAAATAATTCATTCAATTCAGATTCGATTAAATTTACTATGATAAAGTTTCATAAACTATGCATATAAATTACGCCCTTATTTTCTACATCACATTATTACAATTAATGTTACGATTAATTTTTATTATTACAATTACATTATTACAATTAATTTAATATTTGCTTAATATAAAAGTTTTGCAGTTTGTATGCCCAAAATAGAATAACTTCGTCTTCGGAATTGCATGAAAGAATATAGGTGAACGTTTAAAAATGTATTTAGAAGCCTAGTAAAAAACATTTCGGTGTGCAAAATTTTGCAGACAGTAATCTTTTTTACTAGACTTCTAAATACATTTTTAAACATTCACTTATATTCTTTCATGCATTTCCGAGTGGAGACCTATCTTATTTTGTACATACAAACTGCAAAACTTTTATATTAAGCAAATATTACGATCTGACGCAAGAAGCCGGTAAAAAACTGTAATATTTTAACTTTTCTTCGTTTTTAACATAAACTCGTGAAGTCTCATTTTTGTTTCGTTGTGTACTTAAATCGTGGAAAAGGATTTCTCATTTCATGTAACCAATAAAAAAATTTCGGTCTGCAAAGTATAATTATTATGGCCGGTAAAACAGGACGGTCCGGCATCCTCTTAATATCCGATACCAAATATTGAGTTTCCATCAAAAAATCGATTTGTCAATTTGCTTCTGAATCTGTTTTTTTTTCTTCAGTTTTGCGAGATGGAAATTCGATTTCTTCTGTCTCAATATCATGTTCCTGGAAAAATACATAAATAAATATTTTTATAAACGATGCAATATAAGTAAATCATCAGTCACGCAGATTGCTTATATTAGTTTTGTTTTTTATACCAACTTTTTGATTTATAACTTTCAATGGTTTAATAGATGGTAAATTTGAAATTTTTTCGCAGATTGATATACGTTTGTAGTCACGCTTTATTAATCTTGGAATTACATCTACGGATTTAACATTCATTCGGATGGCTTTCAGATCAGAATAAAGTTGCTTCAATTTTTCATCCGTCCATCTAGTTTCTCGTATACAGATATCTATCGGTTTAGACTTGTGGTTAATCACTTTCGGTTCTTTGATAGTTGGTAACCAGTTGAGCGTTGTATTTTCCTTTTCTTCTTTTAAACAATAATATAACACGGAATTGAATAATACTAGATACATTTACATATTAGGATGCATATATTAGGGTATTTTACATAAAGTGTTATAATATGTTTTCTTTGAAACCTGACATCGTACAAAAAATATTTCAGACAGAATTTATAGAGAGAGCGAGTTCTGAGAAAAAGTTGATAATCATGAATTTTAACTAAAATCATTTTTCAAGATCATGTAACGATTAACTTAGTTTGGTAAAACTTAAGATTAAGGGCGACCTCACCGATTTCAATGACCTTGATATATGTTGTCAAGGACATAATTCTGAGTAACTTTTTCTTCTAATTTAATTGTCGCTCGTTGTTTACTACAAAGTTATGAACAATTAAAGATAGTGACTGACTGATGCTGAGGACATAAAACTGCACACATTTTCGCATGAATTATCAACTTTTACATCAAAAAAACGAAAAGAAAATGATAGAGGATTACAATGAACTAAGTAGGTTTATATATTTCAGTCAGTATTATTCAGATATTTGATACATAGTTGCCATAATATTAAAAAAAACTTTTATTCGTTCACAATAATTGTAACGTCGACGAAATAAGCGCGCGCATGCACACACACACACACGGGGGGGTGCAAGGGGGGCCTTCGGCCCCACTCCCGCACCCGCCCCGCCGGGAGGCAGGGGGGGGCTCGCTTTACAATGTAGCATGTACTTAAAAAATACTTTATTATAGTGTTTTGAAAAGCTCTCGAGATAAGCTACAAGAATATGTAATAAAAAATGAGGGATTCCGTTTAAGAAAACATCGATAACATTGACTTGGCCTTGAATAGGTCACTCAAGGTCAAGTCCATATTTTCATCATGTGTCCCCCTCTGAACCATACAACTTTTGTATAGAACATTTTTTTCCATCTTGTTTACTTTACGAGAAATTTGCGTGTGTTGATTAAAATGACTCACCCTGTATATATATGTATGTATATAGATCTCCTAAAGAGATATACAGGGTGTCCTAGACCATCCGTACACCCCTTTTCTTTCAAAAACTAAGCATTTTAGAGAAAAACGTTTTGAACAAAAATTGTATGGTTTTGAGGGGAACATAAGATGGTGTCATTGGTTTGACATTGGATGGCATCTTTAAGATCAAGTCAAGGACACCTTTTTGAGTTATTTTATATTTTAATCTGACATATTTTGATATAAAAAATAAAATATCTCGTAAAATATTTAGTTTTCGATAATTTTACCGCAATACTTTTATGTACAGAATAATGAGACAAGTCAATTAGTAAAAAAAAATAATTGTGTTTAAGAAAAAGTATGTAATTATTTACAATGTATTTTTTAAAACAATTATTTGTTTTTTTCTTTACACTAATTGATTTGTCCTCAGGATCATCCCATAAAAATATTACGGTAAGATTATCGAAAACTAAATATTGGATGATTGCATAAGTTCGTGCCCGATTTTCATAGATGGCATTAAGTTACTGC